GCCCGGGGAGGCTGCCTGCGGGCCCCAGAGCCCGCGCGCCTCCCGCAGCCAGTTATGCCAGCCTGGACCGAACTCTTTTCGGAGGAAGGTAGCTTTCTGCGCCCCCCCACCCAGCTCCCAAAGTGAGGAGGAGTTGAGGCGTACTGAAATGCATGGAGGGCCAGTGGAGTTTGCAGAATTCCCTCCCGGGCCGCTCCATTCTGGTCGTTATGAAGATTTAATGAATTGATGCTGGTAAAGCGTCTACGACGTAATCCATAGTCAGCCCTCCACGTGGTCGCTCCCTCTTAGGCGGTTGTGAAATGCACCGTGAGAGCGTGGCTTGCACCGAGGCCGGCCCACCCCTCCCTCATTTCGGACACGCTGTGCAAAGGATAGGCAGGTGCAGCGCCACGGCCCCGCCGTCCCCGGCCACCCTTGCAGAGTGCATGCTAGGCAAGCGTGGGGACACACGCGCACACATTATTTTATTATTTTCATCTTTTCCGGTTCTGATCCAACACAAGAACGGCCTCCAGCCACGGAAGAGCTGAGGGCCGTTCTGTTTCCTCTCCCGCCTCTTCTGTCTCAGCCAGGTCTTTCCAACGCTAGCGTTGGCGAATCCGGCCCCGGTAAGTTTACTGTAAGCTTTCAGTCTGTTTCTTGAAAACCGTTTGCAGTCCAACTTGAGCTTGAACCCTGTCATTTCAGATTGGTCCTGAGAGGTTAATGACCGTTACTGTTAGAAAAAATAATAGCTGTATATTATATATCAATACAGTTTGTAGGAAATGTACTATACCTACTTATGTAGACATCCATTTATATATATATACGCACACTAGATAGTGCATGTTATAAAGCATATACTATAGACTATATACTATAACTCGTATAACATGTGTAGTATACAAACGGAAGCTTTCTAGAGCTTGTGATAAACCAGCTACTGAGCTAGACATTTTATATAAAATTTCCTATCCAGTTTAGCCCAATGACAAAAAAAAAAAAAAAAAAAAAGAATGAATAAAACTGAAGCTTAGAGAGTTAAGTAATTTGCCCAACTCCACAAACCTTACTATTGGCTAATGTGAGCTTCAGACCCAGATTTTCTGATCCTCACCTGGGCCCTTAATATATACATCGACATTTAGCATGCTGTAGTTCATCACCTTTCCTTAAACCAGGATTATCTCAGAAGATTGGAAATATTCCTTAAATGGGAATATTGCCAAAAGGATGGTGGGCAGGACCAGTATGTGCAGGGCCGTGTGATAGAATTGTTGCTTTGTGTGTTCATGGTGGTGACATAGCTCCAAACAGAAGATCCACTTAGTTCACCGCTATGTACCTTGCTTCTGACACGGGGTTTGGCACATAATAAACGCTCAATAAGTCATAACTCCTATTGTTAACCCAGCTATTGAGTTATCGCCCTCCTCCTCTGTTAATTTTTTTCTTTCTCTCTCTGCAGGTGTGCTCCGAGAGAAAGGGAAAGCATTTCAGATTTGCTGGGTTTTCACATGGGTTTGTACTGTGTCACTTTATAAATGCCAAGTAGGTAACAGGAGGGGACAGGCAATCAGTAGTCTGTAGGAGCCAGTAAGAAAATTCCTATTTCAGGGAAGTTGGTGTCCCATGTCCGGTGGAGAAAGCCCCCACTAATTTTTATCCTGGACTGCAGAGAAAAAGCAAGACTTCAGTGCTGTCCAGCCCACCATCCTATGAGGTGCAGCTCAACTCAGACGGACGTTTGGGACGCAGTTTCAGAACTCACTCTTCCTCAGCCGGCCGCTTCCCTCGCTCATCGCTTAGTCTCTGTGAATCATCCTGCCAGGATCCTGCCTGAAATTACTAATGAGAGATCGTGAACTGCCTGCTAAGCGCCCACGGTCATGACTGAGACAGGCCAGTCCCTTCGCGGGTGCTGGGACATCACGCCAAGTTAATGCTTCAGCCCTCACCAAGAGACCGCAGGTGACAAGGCACGTGCGCATTTACGTGTACGATGAGGGTGGGGTGGTGGAGCCCTCAGAAAGGCCTTGGCTGGTTTCTCTGTACTGAAAAATGCAAAACTCTGTCAAATGTATCCAAGAGTCATATCGTTGTGTGCTTCAAAGCTTCAGCCAAACCTGGGAGTGAGCCCTAGACCCTAGCTCTTGATTGTGGAAACTCGTAGACCTACTTCCCACATCTGTCGAAGCGACAGTTCAGGACGGGCCTCCCAGCGAAGCTGATGATTCATGGAAATGGGGGCGATAACCACAGCCGATGCGTGCGGTGGCTGTGGGAATAAGGCGCACACAGTTCTTAATGCGGTAATGGGCTCGGTCAACCCCACCTCGTAGCGCGACTGTATTGCACACCTTGGTTTTTGCAAACTGTATACGAGACAGGCCACTTAGATGTCGCAATTGTTATACTTGTGTTCAACTCAATAGTGTAATTTCGACTCAGGGAACTGTGTAATTAGATAAAGCCAAAGGCAGATTAGTAAAAAAAAATAAATAAATAAAAACGATTAGTAGCCAGACAAACCTGGGGTAACTTACTGACTGATCTCTGTGAGCCTCGTGTACCTCATCTGGAAGTGGTGACAATGAGTATGCCCACCCAGCAGGGTTTTTCTGTGGTTGACAAAGCATCGAAATTCCCTGGCATATAGCAAAGGCTCTCAAATGTTATTACGAATGTTATAAAGAAGTACAGGAATTGAGCCCTTAAAGAATTAAAATCAGCATCTCTATTACACGTGTCTTGGGGTTCTCTGCCAAATTAGACAAAAACCTTGACCTTCTGGAGGTGACCTCCTTGTTTTTGTCTCTCCTAGAGCATGTGACACAGCACTGTTTAGCTTGGCCAGCACCCAAAAGAGCAAATAATTGGCAATTGATTATTGATTATTTCTTTATTCTCAAATGAAAAGAGAAAGATCAGGATCGATACATTCTTTGTTTTCGGAGGAAGAAGTTGTTGGTAAATAGGGGAGCGTTTTATTTATATGTCACATAGGAAGCAATTCTATGTAAGAAAAATGACAGTTTTGGTCCCGACAGCTTGAGTTGAAGCTGTATGGCCTCAGGCAAGTTATTTAACCTCTCTGAGCCTAGTTTCCTTATTCTTAAAATTGGGGGTCACTATACCTATGTCAGAAAGGTTAAGATGAAAACCTGAAATGTCAGGTGAAACACAATTAACCTCTGTCTTCACAAACATCCGTTTGGCTCCTGTACTTGCTTGAGGATTTCTGAGCAGAATTCTGTCACGTTGGTAAGTTAAGTTTCCATTACGGAAAAAAGTGTCTTGAATCCTCCAAAATGCAGTTACAGGTGAAGAAGATTGGAAAGGTTCACTATTAAAAGAGGCGTTCCACTTCTAAGGAGATGAAAAATATAGTGCGAACACTCAAGTTTGAGTCATTTTACTATTAGGATAAATCGTCATTTATTGAGGAGCTACTATGTGTGTGCCAGAGGTTTTACCATCTCTACCCACACGATAATGCCGGAAGGTAAGTATTGGTTTCCATTTTATATGAGAAAAACTGTATCTTACAGCGTTTCAGTCAGACCGGACTTTGCAGCTACCCTGTTACCTATTTCCATCCTAACCGAGTCAGTTCACCTTGTCCTTGTCTATGAAATGGGAATAATAATAGTCGCTCTTTTCTATTACAACATTATAGTTATAATAATATTTGTGGTTATGATCTTGTAACTTGAATTCTAGCTTGCTTCAGGATGCCAGCAACCCGAAGGTCACCTGTCTCGTTCTCTGTTACGATCTTAGCGCCTCTCACTATGCTTGCACCAGTTTAGGTGATCAATAAATATTTGTAAATCATGTATTGCAAAATAACAGAGATTAAACGCCAGACTTGATCTAGGCTGTACTTGTTCAATTTGATCGAGTTTCCGGTTCTAGTTAAAAACAGTTCCTGGTAAAAGATGTGTTTAATTACAAACCTTATATGTAAAGAAACATTTTCTTTTGGTTTGTCTTCTTTTTTTTTCCCCAAAACCTCTGGGAAGGTGGAGATTGGTAAGAGGAAGATGTCCCCTCTTTAAAGTAACAGAGTCTCTTCCTATAAAAAGGGAGGGAATCAATTAAATGAGTTAATGATTTGAGTAGTATTTGTTGCATGGTAAATGCTCAGTAAGCATTAGCTGTTATTATTATTAATAATATTTTTAGAAGGTATAGAGTCAAGTTAAGCTGGTTAACAAAAGAATTCACTGATTTGGAAAAATTCCTTTGGTACCACATATGTTTCATAATTAAGTTTTAAAATTACATCATCACATAGATACCTATTCTAATCTTTCTTGCATGATATAACTTGGCTAATTCATCAGGGTGAAAATGAGGGAAATTCCATGACAGGATTATTACTGCTAATTATATGGGACCCAAAGTACATCCTGTTTTTCTCCTGTAAGTCGAGAGCCTGCCTTGACATATCTTATTATGGCTGTTGCCTTGGACGAAACACACACTCCCACAGGGAGCTGGTGAAAAGTACGTCCACAGGCAGGGTGAGTAAAACCCAGGAGGAGGATGTTCAGATGTTTGGTCGGTATTCACGAAATGGGCCAAGGGAACAATTCTAAGACAAGAACATTCTGGAAGACTCCTTTCATCTTTGGCAAGGCATTTCATTTGAGGCATTTGTAGAAGGTCGGTGGGTATTTTCCACGGCAGAAAATTCTCGACTCCTTGATCTCAATGAGAACCCCACCTACACAAGGCCAAGGCCGCACGCGAATGTGGAGGAATTAAATTCAGACTTCGAGAGGTAACTGAAGAGTTGAGGAAGGAGAGATTTATTTATTTTGTCTTTGAGATACGTAGCTGTTTTGTGGCCTGCAGCAAACAGGCTCCCCTGTTCTGTTCTGAGACTTGTGATCAATGAGTCCATAATGTTTTCTTCATGAACAGCGTCCCCGGCAGTGTCAACCCACTCACTTTTCCTTATATAACACGATCCGTTTATTTTGCCACATAAATAAATGTGTTATCCTCATGCCCGAGCATGTGACCTGATTTCAAAACTGCTCAATCCCAAATGAAACTCATATTTTGTTCTACACGAGGGTCCAAGTGACTCAGATGTTTTGTTCTTTGACAAAGTGACTGTAGGGACGTTAACATTTGCTGACGTCTCAAGTCTGGAGTCAAAAATAAAATGAGCAGTTTCATAAAATAACTCTTTTCTAAGATGAAGACATGTGTGTCTCTTGGTCGTTAAAGATCATTGTTTGAATCCAAAAAGAGAGAACTAATGGTTTAGAAGGTGAACTTGAGCATCAGATGTCCTTGGGTTCAAAGCCCTGCTCCAGAATTTGTCAGCCTCTGTGACTGTAGGCAAGTGACATTACCTCTCTGGGCCTTCGCTTCCACATGGGTGAAAAGGAGGCTACTAACAAGCTCATGGGTGGTTGGATAAGTACCACTGAGCAGAGGGTCTGGCACATGGCAAGCAGGCAGCATGAGGTTTTGTTTTGCTTCTGGCTCAAACTTGGTGGCACCGAAGGACACCAGGCTCAGACGAAAGAACATGCCATCACTTCTGTAGAAAACCCAGGTTGCAGGAAGGAAGAATTCTAACGAATTATCTTTGGTTCCATGTTAAACTCTCTACTCTGGTTAAGGTAAACTGTTGCAAGGCTTCCAAATGCAGGTTTGCCAGAAAGAGCTGATGGGAGGTCCACTGCTTTAGTGGGAGAAGTTTATTGGCACTATTATATTGGGCAGGATTTTTAAAAAATTCTATTCCTGCCCTCTTTACTTTCTTTTCTTTTGTTCTTTCTTTCTTTTCTTTTTTTTTTTTTGGTAAAGTCTTCGTTTTTATGTTGTTGATTTTTTACAGTTAGGCTTTCATTTCATATCTTTCCTTAGCAAAATAAGTTAGCATCTCTCTGATGATACCATATTTTTAAATATTCACTAGGATGTGAAATTCAAATGTTTGAGAACTAGGTGTATCAGTATTAAACAATTCTCTCTTTTATCCCCAACTGCAATATTCTTTAATGTTCCTCTGCTTTTTTAATGCCCATGGTCAAGGAGATGTAAATAGACCAATT